TTCAGGACTAGTTTAAGAGCAACTAGCTGATGTTGTAGTTTGTTGAAATCACCCTGTAGCTTAGCAATTACGTCATCCAGAGAGCGGCCAGCAGTAATCAGTACCGTGTCATCTGCAAAAAGATTTACCCTGGAATGATCCAGTTCAGTGCCCAAGTCATTGACATGAAGAGAGAACAAAAGGGGGCCGAGGATGGAACCCTGTGGAACCCCTTTTGTTATCTTAACACTGTTTGTCCTCCAACCATCTGTGAATACAGTTTGGGTGCGAGAAAATAAATAATTTTGTAACCATTTTACTACGTTTTCGGAAAAACCGAGGCAACTAAGCAGGGTGTTGTGGTCTACTGTATCAAAAGTTTTGGACAGGTCTAAAAAAAGACAGGCACAGTACTGCTTATTATCAAGGCTACTGTAAATATGATTCAGAAGTCTAATGCAGCAGATGTGATGCTGTATTTTTTTCAGAACCCAGGTTGTTTTAGATGTAGTAGATTGTTGGTGGACAGGAAACTGCTAATTTGGTAGGTCAATAATTTTTCAAATATTTTCATCAATGGGGACAAAATTGAGATAGGTCGGTAGTTATTGGGATCATCTTTAGGGCCCCCTTCGTGAAATGGACGGACATAGGAATGTTTCCATTCTAGAGGAACTGATGCTTCTTTGATGGACAGGTTGAAAATATGGGCTATAGGTTTGTATAATAGGTGACCAACAGTTAGTAGAGCAAAGACTGGAATACTATCTGCTCCGTTAGAGGAGGACCCTTTGAGGTAGGACAGTTGTTTCAGAACATTACTTTCGTGGATTAGCTGGAAGCTAAATTCGTTTAATGTTTGGACAGGGGTGTAGGAATTTGCATGAGCAGGGGTGATTAACAGCTTCAGAAAAATGAAGGTTAAAATTGTCAACTATTTTTTTGGGATCTGAAAAATATTCCCAATTTCGGTTAAGCTCTACGAGCAGATTGTCTGTTTTGGATGCCTTTTCGATACATTTGATTGTTTTCCAGAAAATCCTGGCATTTCCATGTGATTCCAGGAGAGTGGAGGAAAAATAGGCATTTTTTGCATGCCGTATTTTTTTGATGCATCTATTCCTTAAAATCCTGTATTCTAGCCAGTCATTGACCAAATTACTTTTCTGAGCACATGCCCAAGCCTTGTCCCTAGTTTTCATGAGCTTTGTAATCAAAGAATCAAACCATGGTGGGCGGTTTCCTTTAGTTTTAAATCTAACCAACGGAGCATGTTTGTTAAGAATTTGGAGAAACGTGTACCTGAAGGTCTCCCAAGCTGTAGTCAGGTTGGGGATATCACAGACCTTGTCAATATCAGATTGAAGCACATCATTAGTAAATGCCTGAGTACTGAAGTGTCTCATAGAGTGCTTCTCAACCAATTTAGGGGGGGCTTTGGGTCTGGCTGATGATCTCATCCCAAAAATGAAGGAGTGATCATTAAGGTTATTACCCAGAACACCAGTCAGTGTGAAATTGTGAGGGGCATTTGTCAATAGAACGTCAAGCAGAGATGACTTTCCCGGATTTTTTAGGTTGGGTCTTGTGGGGACATTTATTAATTGAAACAGATTAAATTCATCTGCAAAATTTGTGGCCACGGCCGGCGGGTCTAGCCAATTCCAATTTAGATCACCCACTAAAACTATTTCACCTTTAGGGAGGCCCCCAAAAAGCTCTCTCAGTGCAGATGCAGTTTCAACATCCTTCCCACTAGGCGGTCGATAGCAGCACACTACCAATATCTGTTGATTATTTGGGAGAGTTATTCTGAGAGCCAGACCTTCAAAGCAACATTGTTTAAACAAGGAGTGAGCTAGTGAACATGCAATAGTATTACGAACATAGATGGCAATTCCACCTCGTGAGCGGGAATCGAACTCGGGTCACACGGGCCCACACTCGGGTCACACTCGGGTCACCGAATTCGTAAACACGACAGCGCGTTAAATCGCTACACCATCACTCCGCACGCACCCACACACACACGCACCCACGCACACACGCACCCACACACACGCAAACACACACACACACCCACACACACACGCGCACACACACACCCACACACACGCGCGCTCTGGCTCGCTCAACTTTAAAAACGAGCGCAGAAACGCATCACCTCTCATTGCTCCGTTCACAAGGAGAGAGCGACACACACACAGAGCAGACACAGAGAGAGAGAGACACACACAGAGCAGACAGACAGAGAGACACACACAGAGACAGACAGACAGAGAGACACACACACACAGACAGACAGAGAGACACACAGAGCAGACACAGAGAGAGCGACACACACACAGAGCAGACAGACAGAGAGACACACACACAGAGACAGACAGAGAGACACGCACACAGAGCAGACACAGAGAGAGCGACACACATACAGAGCAGACAGACAGAGAGACACACACAGAGCAGACACAGAGAGAGAGCAACACACACACACACAGAGCAGACACAGAGAGAGAGAGAGACACACACAGAGCAGACAGACAGAGAGACACACACAGAGACAGACAGAGAGACACGCACACAGAGTAGACAGAGAGAGAGCGACACACACACAGAGCAGACAGAGAGACACACACAGAGACAGACAGAGAGACACACACACAGAGACAGACAGAGAGACACGCACACAGAGCAGACAGAGAGAGAGCGACACACACACAGAGCAGACAGACAGAGAGACACACACACAGAGACAGACAGAGAGACACGCACACAGAGCAGACAGAGAGAGAGAGAGACACACACACAGAGCAGACAGACAGACACACACAGAACAGACAGACAGAGATACACACACAGAGCAGCCAGACAGACAGAGAGAAAGACACAGAGCAGACAGACAGAGAGAGAGACACACAGAGCAGACAGACAGAGAGACACACACAGAGCAGACAGACAGAGAGAGAGACACACACACAGTGACAGACAGACAGAGAGAGGGAGAGACACACACAGAGCAGACAGACAGAGAGAGAGACACACACAGAGACAGACAGAGAGAGAGACACACACAGACCAGCCAGCCAGACAGAGAGACACACACACAGAGCAGACAGAGAGACCCACACATAGCAGACAGACAGACAGAGAGACACACACACAGAGCAGACAGACAGAGAGACACACAGACAGAGAGACACACACAGAGCAGACAGACAGACAGAGAGACCCACACATAGCAGACAGACAGACAGAGAGACACACACACAGATCAGTCAGACAAAGAGCGAGACACACACAGAGCAGACAGAGAGAGAGAGACACACACACAGAGCAGACAGACAAAGAGCGAGACACACACAGAGCAGAGAGAGAGAGAGAGACACACACAGATCAGTCAGAGAGACACACACAGAGACAGACAGAGAGACACACACACAGACAGAGACACACACAAAGCAGACAGAAAGAGAGAGACACACATACAGAGCAGACAGACAGACAGAGAGACATACACACAGATCAGTCAGACAAAGAGCGAGACACACACAGAGTAGACAGAGAGAGAGAGAGACACACACACAGATCAGACAGAGAGACACACACAGAGACAGAGAGACACACACAGAGACAGACAGAGAGACACGCACAGAGACAGACAGACAGAGAGACACGCACAGAGCAGACAGAGAGAGAGAGACACGCACACAGAGCAGACAGAGAGAGAGAGAGAGACACACACACAGAGACAGAGAGAGACACACACACAGACAGACAGAGAGACACGCACAGAGCAGACAGAGAGACACACACACAGAGACAGAGAGACACGCACAGAGACAGAGAGACACACGCACAGAGACAGACAGACAGAGAGACACACACAGAGAAGAACAGAGAGACACGCACAGAGACAGACAGACAGACAGAGAGACACACACACAGAGACAGACAGAGAGACACGCACAGAGCAGACAGACAGAGAGACACACACAGAGCAGACAGAGAGAGACACACACACACAGAGACAGAGAGACACACACAGAGACAGACAGAGAGACACGCACAGTGACGGACAGACAGAGAGACACACAGACAGACAGAGAGACACACAGAGCAGACAGAGAGAGAGACACACACACACATAGAGACAGAGAGACACACACAGAGACAGACAGACAGAGAGACACACACACAGAGACAGACAGAGAGACACACAGAGTAGACAGAGAGAGAGAGACACACACACAGAGACAGAGAGACACACACAGAGACAGACAGAGAGACACGCACAGAGACAGACAGACAGAGAGACACACACAGACAGACAGAGAGACACACACAGAGCAGACAGAGAGAGAGACACACACAGACAGAGAGACACACACACAGAGACAGACAGAGAGACACACACAGAGTAGACAGAGAGAGAGAGAGAGACACACACACAGAGACAGAGAGACACACACAGAGACAGACAGACACGCACAGAGACAGACAGACAGAGAGACACACACAGACAGACAGAGAGACACACACAGAGCAGACAGAGAGAGAGACACACACAGACAGAGAGACACACACACAGACAGACAGAGAGACACACACACAGAGACAGACAGAGAGACACACACACAGAGACAGACAGAGAGACACGCACAGAGACAGACAGACAGAGAGACACGCACACACACACAGAGACACACACAGAGCAGACAGAGAGAGAGACACACACACAGACAGAGAGAGACACACACAGACAGACAGAGAGACACGCACAGAGACAGACAGACAGAGAGACACACACACAGAGACAGAGAGACACACACAGAGACAGACAGACAGAGAGACAAACACACAGAGCAGACAGAGAGAGACACACACACAGACAGAGAGACACACACAGAGACAGACAGAGAGACACGCACAGAGACAGACAGACACACACACAGACAGAGAGACACACATACACAGACAGAGAGACACGCACAGAGACAGACAGACAGAGAGACACGCACACACACACAGAGACACACACAGAGCAGACAGAGAGAGAGAGACACACACACACAGACAGAGAGACACACACACAGCGACAGACAGACAGGTAGATATCGAGACGCGTGCACAGAGTAGCGCCGGCGATGTCCACGCCGCCGTTCAACATCTCGGACGAGGAGCGGCTCGCCGCCAATGTAAGCGGCGTCGCGACTCCGACGGGCCACGACGTTCCGGCCGGGGTGAACTTCGTCGCTCTCTCAGCCCTCATGGGCATCACGTCGACTCTGTCCATCGCGCTCAACGGGCTGGTCGTCGTCGTGACGCTCCGCTCCAGGCTCCTGCGGCGACCGCTCAACTACGCGCTGGTGAACTTGGCGTGCGCCGACCTGGGCATCTCGCTCAGCGGCGGTGTCATCACGACAGCGAGCAACGCGCGGGGAAGATTTGACCTGGGGCCAGCGGCGTGCGTCGCCGATGGCTTTCTGGTGGCGGTGTTCGGTGAGGGTTGTTGTTGTTGTTTGTTTGTCTGTCGTTTGCGTTGTTGTTGATGATGATGATGATAATAATAATTATTTACAACTCTCTGTTTTTTTTTGTTTTCCGGTAAAGTCACGTAGATAGAAAATAATAATAATAATAAAAACACGACGTTTCGGTCGCAGCACAAGCGTCCGTCATCAGGTGAGCAAGAATAATGATTGGCGTTACGCAGTGCGCACGGCCTACGGGACCGCAGACACTCGTGCGTGCACGGCTGCTCCGACCGCGACTTCCAAAAGCGTGCGCAACTCTGTCGCCGAGAAGGGGTTTGCGGAGTCTCTCTCTCTCTCTCCCCGTGGTCGGGTGGATTCCCTTTCCTCCGGGTCCTCTGATTCACCCCCACCCCCCTCCTCCTCCTCCACTATTCAGAGTCATGCTTTTAGATTATTTATAGATATTTTTTTTTGTCTGCTATGAATGAATGTCCACGTGATAAGACACTTCGTCACGCAATAATTTGTGGCCAAAGAACAAAAGCAAACAGCTTATATCTCGGTGGGTTTTACCTGGCAAAAAAAAAATGTCACGCTGCGCTCCAGGCTGCCACGGCAGGCGCTCAAACTGCGCTGCGCTGGTGAACTTGCAGGTGCGCCGACCAGTCACGTGGTAACTAGTGTACCTAGCCTGGTGACTAGTGTAGTAACTAGTGTAGTAACTAGTGTAGCTAGCCTGGTGGTCACCACCTGGCTAGCTACACCAGTCACGTGTTAACTAGTGTAGCTAGCCTGGTGGTCACCACCTGGCTAGCTACACCAGTCACGTGGTAACTAGTGTGCCTAGCCTGGTGACTAGTGTAGTAACTAGTGTAGTAACTAGTGTAGCTGGCCTGGTGGTCACCACCTGGCTAGCTACACCAGTCACGTGGTAACTAGTGTACCTAGCCTGGTGACTAGTGTAGTTACTAGTGTAGTAACTAGTGCACCTAGCCTGGTGGTCACCATCTGGCTAGCTACACCAGTCACGTGGTAACTAGTGTACCTAGCCTGGTGACTAGTGTAGTTACTAGTGTAGTAACTAGTGTATCTAGCCTGGTGGTCACCACCTGGCTAGCTACACCGGTCACGTGTTAACTGGTGTAGTTAGCCTGGTGGTCACCACCTGGCTAGCTACACTAGTTACTACACTAGTTACCACGTGACTGGTGTAGCTAGCCAGGTGGTGACCACCAGGCCAGCTACACTAGTTACCACGTGACTGGTGTAGCTAGTTACCACGTGACTGGTGGTCACCACCTGGCTAACTACACCAGTCACGTGGTAACTAGTGTAGCTGGTCTGGTGGTCACCACCTGGCTAGCTACACCAGTCACGTGGTAACTAGTGTAGCTAGCCTGGTGGTCACCACCTGGCTAGCTACACCAGTCACGTGGTAACCAGTGTAGCTGGCCTGGTGGTCACCACCTGGCTAGCTACACCAGTCACGTGGTAACTAGTGCAGCTAGCCTGGTGGTCACCACCTGGCTAGCTACACCAGTCACGTGGTAACTAGTGCAGCTAGCCTGGTGGTCACCACCTGGCTAGCTACACCAGTCACGTGGTAACTAGTGTAGTTAGCCTGGTGGTCATCACCTGGCTAGCTACACCAGTCACGTGGTAACCAGTGCAGTTAGCCTGGTGGTCATCACCTGGCTAGTTACACCAGTCACGTGGTAACTAGTGTAGCTAGCCTGGTGGTCACCACCTGGCTAGCTACACCAGTCACGTGGTAACTAGTGTAGTTAGCCTGGTGGTCACTACCTGGCTAGCTACACCAGTCACGTGGTAACTGGTGTAGCTAGCCTGGTGGTCACGACCTGGCTAGCTACACCAGTCACGTGGTAACCGGTTAGTTAGCCTGGTGGTCACCACCTGGCTAGCTACACCAGTCACGTGGTAACCGGTGTAAAAATCAAAATTAAACAATTTTTTAGTACGCACTTACTTTAACTAACTATTACCTGTACTTTAAAGGTACCCTTTGGCACTCGCTTTCAGAAACAGGATCTTAATTTAAAACCGGAATAAGAATCCGAAAAGCTTTAAAGCTCTTTTTTGTCGCAGATGTCCAGTCGGGGTTGGTCAAAAACTAAACAAATACAAACAATAGTAAAACCTACAGGAGTGCAAAGTATAGGCAAGATAAGCAAGTCACGAAAAATACATAAATATAATTCAAGTATATCCAGTCAGCACAAATTAAAAACAGTATTAAAATTCCTGCCCATTTTTAAAACAATCTAATGGAGGAAGCTTGGGCAAGGCAGCTAAACAACAACTACTACATTGCGGGGATCACAAAAAAGATCTGAAAAATATTGAATAAACACAAGATCCAGGTCCGTTTCAACACATTACATAAAATCCGTGATCTGGTTCCGTCTGTAAAAGATGTGATTCCGGACATACAATACCCTGGTGTCTACAAACTAAGTTGCCTCTGTGGTAGTAGTTACATTGGAGAAACCAAACGCCATGTCTCGGACCGCATTCGTAAACACAAAGCAGACCTTAAATACGGTAGGACCAACACCTCGGCCATGGAAGATCATTATTATAATTCAGTAGGCTCACATGACATTGACTTCTCCAAGACAGAGGTTCTTTGTAAGCCATCTGGCTACCATGAGAGATTCGCTCATGAGGCTATCCACATATACAAGCACAGAGACAATTTCAACCGAGAAGATGAATTCTGGCTTAGCAATCATTGGAAGGATTTGATAAACCATTTCAGGTCTTAATTGATTGTTCACGCTTACAGTGGCTTTCGGACAGCATACATTAAATTTTCGTCTCCCCCCTCCTCTTTTCAGAACACAGATGGACTCGTCCTTCTAAACAAACTGCCAAATCGCTGCCCGTGGAGCTAACGGTTTTTTTTATAATTAAATAAGTAAACACAAACACCGTTTATAAATAAATAAATGCAAACCGACACTTCTTTCAAATTTTTCTTGCCGTTGGTTTTTCACACCTGATGATGACCGTTTGTGTTATGGTCGAAACGTCGTGAGAATTTTTATTGTTTTATATATATTTTATTATTTTATTGTTTCCCTTCAACGTGACTTTACCGAAAGAGCTAAGAATATGAATTACTGCAGTCACGAAAGCTTGAAATCAAAATTTAACAGAACACAGCGCAATTAAAATAGAACTACCGATACACACGCGAAAGGATCAAAGTTACAACTCACATTGGCAAATGTGTCTCTATCCAGCACTAATCCTCCGCTTCAGGATACTTTTTTTGCAGGAAGATTCACGAATTTAATGGAGGGAACAAGGTCGGTACACTGCTTGGGATCTGCAACGGCAAGGGCTTGCGATGTAGCGTTCTCAACGCAGTACATATTTACCATTGCCCATATGTGACGTGTACACTAGCTGTTATTTTAGAGTCATATGTAGTGGCAAAGCTACGATTTTTTTTTTGGTCTCGTTTAGTGCCATACGTAGTAGGGCATGCTGTAATCCAGAGGTCGCCGGTTCGTATCTATGTATGTTGAACTTCTTTCGCACCGTACATAGCGCCGTTCTAATCGGAAGATGCACGTTCGATCCCTTCTCCCAGTGCGGGTTTTTTTTTTAACTCCCACGCCCGCCTCTATCCACCCAGCGGAACAAACGGGTTCATCAGCGTTACTCAATCTATAGGTCACACGTGGTGGGGCCAAGTGTGGATAACTCCAAACTGTTCCCAGACGTCTGGCAGGCTTGGAAGAGTAGGCCAAATACAGTCTCTCTCTCTCTGGAGGAGTCCTCCCGGGGGTCGTCTAGTGGAGGCGCTTTCGCCGGCAATTGCAGGGTTGCACCTGAGTTAGTTGTTGCCCTACAGGTGGGTATACAAGAAGCCAGCATTTATTTTTTGTATTATTGTTTGTCCGTTCATTTTTTTGGAGAAACAGATAAGAGCCGATTGTGAGGTAATGATTTATCACGGGGAGATTATCTGCCCAAAAGCGAATCGGTTCGTCAAACTTTTCTCATATAGCGCGAATCAAAGCGGCGGTTAAACTCACCTTAAGCCATTTAAACGCCCCACGTAATATACATTTTAATAGACTGTTGGTTCAGCAAATAGGTTGGTTTAGTAAATCGGATGCTGATCCCTAGCGAGGACTGCAGATGCATGCATAAAAATGTGAGCTTGAGTGAAGCACAATACGTATCGTGTGGGCATCGAGCTCCTGCCATGCGAGCAAATGAATCTTGAAAGAATTTCAAATAATTAATCGTGCAGATTGTTTTAAAAAATTAATGTGGCTTTACTGTCAAGAAATATCACATGTTCGGGCATTAGCCCATACCGAATTCCTCATCGCCACGGGATACCAGAGCACCAAGGCCTTCACAACTGGGTTCGTCTTGTTATTTAACAAAAAGGGGTCACTCACAGGGTGAAATACTTATTTCGTCTCCAGAATAATCCCCAGCACCGACTCGTACATCAGGAGTTGAACAATGTGTCCCTGTCTCAGACACTGAGACGTACAATTGATGATTGTAAATTACAGGGGCAGGGTGCAAAGCAATCATTTTCAGTGATTTGTTTCTACGCAGATTCAGTTGATTTAGATTTGTCTGTCGCCTGATGAAGCTAGTTCTAAATACTGGCGAAACGTCGTACTCAGATTGTAAATATTGTGGATGCGCTCTACAACACACCGGTGTGCTGTACTAGTAACGAATTGGCATGTTCTGTTTACGTGACAAACCTTACTAATTGGCTGTGTTGGGTGGTGTTGGGTTTAACGACACATATTTACGCGATCTAACCCAAAAAAACTTTATTATGGATGATATTGGTCGTGAAAGCTTACGTGTTAAACTGATTTAGATTTTCGTGTCTTTAGTTTATTGCCCTTTCCCTGCACCTCCGATTAGCGCGGTTGGCTACGTACGGTGCGAAAGAAGTTCAACATACACACACATACATTAAGTATAAAGGCACATCCCTGCAATTACAGTACTCGCTCA